CACTTATCTACTCTGATAGAAAATGTACTCATCTATTCTGAGTAACTCTTGATAGTAGTCATAAATTCTAAATTGGAAGTGAACAGGGGGAAAAGAAAGAGGAAAAACATGAGTAAGACAGGTACTGCATTCCTGAATGGGCTTGAGAGAAATTGTTTAGCAGAATGCTCACCACCACCTCCATCTCTGTATCAGTCCAGATAACTATCTGAATTGAGTCTCCAAACCTTTTGAAATTTTCCAAACACCACTTTCCTAAAGCTCAGTAATAGCAACTTGTGTACATGCTCACAATGTGTTGATGATACTGACAGTACTGTTATTTTTCTTACATTTTCTCTGGTTTGAACAGACTGCTCATTCATGCTTTCCCCCCCCCGCCTCAAGTGCAGCATATTGCTACTTAAAAAAGAAAGGCTGCACCAACAAATCTGGCAGAAACCTAATTTTAAAAATTCCTTCAAAGCTTTGGGTTATCTGTTATTTTTACCCATTATCTTTACTGTGCACCTGATACTGATCCATAGTGTCTGTCTTGCAGGTGTGATTCCAAATCTCTTAGAATTTTTTCCCTTCCTATGTGAAGAAAGCCACTATGCTAAATTTCTATAGCACATTATGGAAAAACCACATTAATTCTACATGGGTCAATTGGCATGAGTATTTCAAATAAACATTCAAGACCAACTTCACAAATCCAACCAAAATAAAACTGTGGTCCAATTCATCCAATTCATAGAGTCCAAAGACTCTAGTAAGAAGATTTAAAGCAGATCTGCCAGTGATTACCAAAAAATTAAAATCTTGACTCCCTCTTATAAAATACAGTTAATAGTTAATTGCAATATTGTTTATAAATATTGAATTAGTATATCTATGTGCAGCCTGTATTTCCATGCTTTACTCTTTTGAGAGAAAGTTGGTACCAACCCACTTATTATTTTAATATGCAATCTGGAATTTAAGTTTTGTGATAAGAACATGACTCGAGCTAAAATATTTCTGTGAAATGGACAATAAATCCCTCTATTTGCATGAAAAAAGTTTCCAGCAAAATAACTGTCTACATATTTTCATAAAATAGCATAGGCACATAGGTAGTCTTCAAATAAGCCTTTCAATTTTGCTGCAGATAATCCTTTATTTCCAAATTAGGACAATGAAGCTCATGAAATTTAAATTGCATTATCAAGTGCTGGAAAATTAATCCTAGATTAAAAATACATTTTAAAATGTTATTAGGGATGTCATGTTACTAATAACAAGTCAACCTTTTCCCTTTATTTTCAGACAGAAGACAAATTCAATTACATTTTTGCTAATTGTCTGATGTATGTTCTTATTGTAATGCATATTATTTTAAATGTTTCAAGTTCATACTTGCTAGTGGGAGACAGCTGTATGGCTAAGATTTGGTGTATTAATTGGAAAATACTAATTATCAAGGCATCAGTCTATGAAGACCTGTGCATGCACTGCTTTAGAAAAATCAGTGGAAACTTTCTGAAAGCGCTTAGATGCAAAAATGTTAAACACCAATTACTTTCACAGCAGAAATATCATCCTTTCTTTCCAATTAAGCAAATCAGTCATGATGAAGTAACCCTGTGTCCAGTATTTTCCATGAGAAACAACCCAAGGGGATGAGTCCCAAGCCAAGAATTTTTCCACTTTAGAGAGAATCAGACGTGTGTGTGATGGTTGAAACACTGCCAAGGGCAAGCATTCAATGGCACATTCAGTCCAATGTCCTTGTCTTCCTCTTCAAGGACTGTAATGGGCATTGGCATTAATATTTCAAGGACTTCCTCTAATTTCACATCCCTCCAAGTATAAGCAGCAATCACCTAAGGAGATATTATTACTGAATAGTTGCTAAGCTTCCTACTACAGGAAATTAAATGGGATCATTGCTAGCCTCCCTCTTACTAAAAAGCAATACATACCTCTTTGCCTGGATTTTTTGTGTAAAGATAAGAATCTTTAGGTTAGTAAATTTGCCATTTTTAAGCTCTTGTCCCTGGATATTGTCTTCAAATCCAGCTCTACTAAGCCTGGAAAATAAGATACAGCGGCATTGCCAGCTCATATATTTTTTACCACTACTCCTTTTGTGTTGCTTTTTGTTTTTGTTTTTCTTTCTGACTCTACTTCCTGCAATCAGATGGCTAAATCAGAATCTTTGCCTTCATTATTAAAAGAAAGAGTTACTAGAGATCACAGCTGTGTGTCAGGAGAGCAGGTAGGAGAGAAGGGGAGTTCAGAGACCTTGAAACTGAAATCTGAAGGTTTCAAATTTATTTCAAGGTATCTCTTGCTGATTAGGTCTCTTTTGGATTAGAACTGCTTCTTTTGTTTTGTTTTTAAGTGTTGGAAGATGACACCACTGGTATACTCATTTAACATAATCCTGTTCATTCTTAGGTCTGTTCTGGTAATAAAAACCAGCCCGCAAAACAGCCTCCTCTATGTTTTTGGGATTTCTGATGGTTAATTAGAATTCTTGACTAATGTTTTCTGACTTGCATTTTTAAGAGCAGAGAAGTTAACGTGTAGACAAAAGCTAACTCAACCATCTGAAAATCAGTTGTCCTAAACTTTCACTATCCAGATTGGCTTCTGCACTGGCTCACTCACTCTTCAGTAGCTTTAGTACTCTTACCTGCTTTCAGTAGTTTCCCAAATGAGGGTCTTACAGGCATCTTAGGCTTGACAGTCCTCCTAGGCTAGTTAGCTGTGACTGATCTCCTCTGATGGCCATACCTCCCTGCCCTTGAAAATGTCATGATCTAGCAAAACACTTGAGTATGTTTATCTTTAGCACCTGAAAAACCCAACTTGAACATACGTTTTTAGCTAATAAAACATGCTGAAATGCTTGGTGGTTCAGAGCCTACATAACTGTACCACCGCAAGTAATTAGGATACAGTTAGCAGTACAAACATTTATAATAATTATGCAATGAGTGTACAAACATATTATAGGTTTAAAGACCCTTAAGTAAACTTGCTGTCTGAATGCAAATGTACTGGCTGCGGCGTGAAGCAGCATTGCCAGCTATGTCAGATACAGCGCTAGTTCATGGCCATGGCTGAGATGTTCCTGCAAAGCAGTTCACGATGCAGTAACCTATGTTAGAACAGTGTGATTCTTTATTCCCCTCTAGTGGCTGGTCTGCATAGTATTAGTTACTAGAGGCTAGAAGAACTAGACCAGACTCTTGGGATAGCAGGACAATACCAAAAGGTTTTGGTTCAGTCCCTGCTGCCATCCACACTACCAGAATGCCAACAGTGCACAGAAAAATGGTCTCTGCTCTGGCAGTGATACAGGAAGGGAAAGGAACATTTTTTGAAGGGCTGAAGTTTTATAGTTCTTAGTCACTACCAAGTAATTAAACTAATAGTTTTATCCCTCAGAAAGGAAGCAGAATGTAAGTGTAAGTTCATGCTGGAAGTCTTTTATTTAATTACTTTAGTCCCTGGGTGTCAGTGAAGCCGTATATGAACCTGGCCAATCCACCTCCAGGAGGGTACTAAGAGTTCTGCTTTGCAGAATGGCTTCTGAATTAAGCCTGTCTGCAGTCTTCCATACTGCAAATAAGAGTAAATTCTCAGAGAATATTTGTCATTAAAATGCGTTTAATATACACAGATATTACCAATATTCTCATAAGTACTACTACTTTTACTTATGTTTTACGATATTGCGTAGCCAAACACATTATTTCAAAAAAAGAAAACTATTATAAAGGTGCTAAAAATTGATATAAGCTGCACTAAAGTCTTGAAAGAGTAATGATTCCTATTAATGGCTGGATTGCTAATATGATATGAGCTAAATTCTTCAAGTTGATACAGACTATTTTTTCTGAATAGGATGAGAGCATTCCCAAACAAATCACTGGAAGCAGAAAAGTGAACATGATACATGAAAACAAATTACAGAATACATCTGAGAGTAAGAGGTGTCAAAGGGGTAGACACTCATCCTCCTTAAGCACAAGGGGGGGTTTATGAATTTTGGATTTTACAGTGATTTGTTCTTGTCCATATTGAGAGCTTGAGCATAATGCAAACTTTCAAGTTCCTAAGAGTCCTGCCCTGCAGAGAATAGGAAATATTTTATCACAGAGGCTGTTTGTGGTGAAGATCACAACGTATAAAGGACAAAATATCCAAAACACAGGTTGAATCCTCTATGAGAATGAAGATGAGAAGAAATCCTTGCTCTTTACAATAAGTTTGGGTCAAGACCAGGTTTCAAAGTTGTATGGCTTCTATTTTGGTGTGAATGGAAAACCATACAAAGGATATTTGAGGTTGCTTAAACTCAAGCTCATGGATATATTATTGTTTATTGAGTATGTTTAAAAAAAAAACAGAACACCAGAGTGTTTTTTTAAATTTTTTTTTTTTAAATTAGGTGTACAAAATCAACCCTCCAGTGATGTTATTTACAATTCTGTCAGTTAACCTGGGATAAAAGGTAAATTGGGTATTTCAGCATAATAGAGTAAGATGCTTCAATTTCTTTTGAAAACATGCCATCTGAGAAGATCCATTTTTAGGGGAATACTAAATAAAAAGCAAGATGACAGCTTTCTAGGTCAGGAACTGCTAGACCTCCATTATTTTAAACAGCTTGGAGCACTGCAATATTTAGCCAGTGTGTGTGTGCATGTGTGCTTTTTTTGAAAATTTTACAACAGGGGTTTATAATGTTCCAAGGCCATGGCTTGGCAATAAAAAATAATGCCTCACTTATAAAGTGCAGGGACTCAGGGATTTCATTCTCCTGGATGTATCTTCAGTTGCATTTTGTTTTAAGTACAAGGATACTTTAAGAACTGCATTTAGCCAGCTGTTGACTAATGGCTCTTAGGTCTTCATGAAGCAGATAATGACTGCACAGAATATCAAATTCAATAGAAACAATCATAGTAATGGAAGAAGAATTCTTATAGAGTTATTACATGAAAGGAAACATTGACAAAACAGAAAGCTTTCTAAGGAAAACATCACTAGGTTTTGATGCATACTACCTCCTTTGATGTGCCTGCTACTTTTTCTCCTCTCTGTAATTGTTTTTGAAAGGTTTCTTAAGGAATTTCTGACAATTTTTGATAACTGAAGCATAAAGCACTTAATGGGAACTAGAAAGCCATTTAAAGGTTTGTAATAAATTCACATACTGCCAGTATATTTCTCTTATATTGTAATGTCTCTTTTGTACTCCAGATGCCATCTCAAAAAATAAACTTCATGCAGAGCATATGGATTAAATTTTAGCCAGAAGGGAAAAATTTGTTAACTTGGCACTTGGTATTTGTGACCCATGGAGTACCTTTACTGCCAGCCAAGTCATCGGTTTCCTTTTTTGCTAGGCAGTGGCAGCTCTGACTCCTGAAGAACACCCTTACATGTGAAGCCCAGGTAGCTTAACTTTGGCAATGATGAATGAGTACTGCAACTGACTGTAACTTTGAAAATTCAGTGCTCAGCATTGGAACTGCAGCAAACTTATTGTTGAAAAATGGATGGCAGGACTGAAATGATGTAGAATACTACGGAATTATTTAATGGGTCCCTACTCTAGCAAAGTCCTTGAACTGAGTAAGCCAAACCAGAAATGACCTATCAAAAAATTCACACTGTTCTCTTGAAGAAAAGAGTGAAGGTTGAGAAACCTACCAACATACGATGGGATGCTCAGGGAGCTCAGATATCACAGGTACAGACACAGGATAAAAACTGAATAGTGTGGTCACTAACATCTTAAAATTAGCCCTGTTCTTTTGACTCTTTCTCCTTGTTTTGGGGAGTCTTGCTTTGTGAGGTGAATATATTTTTAAATTTGGATACTTTTCATTTTTTGATGCCCATGTGCAAATTCTTTCAGTCATTTCTGTTCTTGCAGTTCACCGCTGAATGTTCTGTAGATGTGCATGCTGTATACTGCTCCTGAAAGAAAAATACCCATGAAATTAAACCAGGACCATAGCAAAGTGCAATACAGAGTCTATATTTTATTACTTAGGTTGTAAACTAATTTAGTGTTCAGTTGCTCATACAAAAAGGTTGTTGAAAATAATAAAAATTCCAACCAATAATTTTAATCCAAGCAATTTTGTCCTTTGGTATTAAGATGAAAGTTAATTTTAAGAGACTGTATTAAAACCAGTTTTAAAAAACTTAGAATATCTTAACTAAATTTTGAAAATGTTTGTCTCCTAACAGCTAAAAGGACAGCAGAGACATATCCAGCTTTCTGTGCTTATTTGTAAATCACATGTATTTATTGATTGCTATATTGGTGTGGCATGTCTTAAATCAAGCAACAGTTTTTGTGCTTTTTTGGAAAAAAAAAAAAGAGAAAAGAGTGCATCGGTGAAGCTCCTTTCTATTATACCATGTCACTCAGCCTGTGCTCTCTGCAGGAGACACCTGAACTCCCATATTTTAGCTCTCAGAAGGCTTTACTGTCAGGAACTGCTGAAGACCTTCACCTAGGTAACAGTAGCATGAAGCTCTTGGTAAGGAACTGTGTTCATGTCTCCCTGAAGTACCTAATCCATATCAAAGGATAACCTGTCACTTAAGTTTCATGGGAGCTGTGGGGGTTACAAGATACGTCTGTTTAGAAAGCTAACTCTGCATTTGGCCTTGGAAGCTTTCCCAGCCACAGCAGGACTGCTACTGTGTCTCCCAAGCCAACTCAAAAATCTAGATTATATTTCTGGGTGAGAATTAAGAGATGGAAAAATGGTCTAGGGAAAAAGGAAGCAAGAATGACAACAGACACCAAAAAATTCCAGCATCTTTGAAAAATATTCAAAGCTCCTACTGTAACAGGGGGCTTTGGCCAGTCCCTTCCAACCTCAACCACTCTGTGATTCAGTGGAGGAAAGAAAAAACAAACCAAAACAGAAATCCTCAAACCTCTGAGGTTTTAACAGTGAGATCTTGGCATCTATCTAATTGTACAGTATGCAGCCATAGACAGTTATGCTATCTTTAAAACCTCCTTTAATAAATTCTCTTTTCTATTCATATGTCAATCTTGTTTCTTTTCTTCAGTCCTCCTCCTGGTCTACACAGAGCAGTGGGAGTTTGCAGGTCCTGATACAGCCATGTCCCAGGAGGTCTGGAAGTGCTGCTACTTTGAGAAGTCAGGCTGTGTAGGGCTATAGAAACATATGTTCCCATTTTTTGCATCATGAGAGGGGGCATCATTTTACAAAGTGGGAGACTTTTATTTATTGGCGCAGTCTGGGTTCTGGCGAGATTTATGAAATTTTACAACCTCATCTGATGGGAATCACTGGAGCCACTGTAGAGAACCTGCATCACTGACAATTACCCTTATGATTGTATGATCCTCATTAGGCTGATTAAACTAGCTTAGCATCATATTATTTAAGTGGCACCAGGCAGTACTTTGCTGAAGAAGATACACTAAAACTCTGAGCTGATATGAATTTTAGAAGACTACCCACTAAGAATCCAAATTAAAAAAAGTGCCATTTTTAAGTGACTACTATGGAAACAAACACTGCCTCAGTAAGAATGGAATAAGCACATGCCAGCAAACCATTAAAGAATTCTACAGGATATTGCTTACACTACAGGATGCACTGCAAGCTCTTTATGTTACACTTACACCTGACCTCCTTCTAGGTAGAAGCTTGAGGTTTAGGTCAGTACGGAGGACTTTGAAGTCAAACAACAGTCAATGGCTATAGGAGTGGAATTCAGGATCTTTTGACTCCTGACAAAATTCATCCTTTCCTTTAGTGGTTTCTGAATCAGGAGATGCCTGTACTCTTGCATTTGCAGAACACTGCTTGATTGGGAACAGGCAGCCTGATTCAGCAGATGTGCTGAATGTTCCCAAAAGTCTTCAAAGCTCTTTCGCGTTTTTAAAAAAAATCCTTATTAAAAAAAGAAGTAAAAAATATGGTTTTACCAAACAGGTTAATGTTAGTACAGCAGAATCAGTTATTGCAGAAGAACAGAAGTGTCAAAGCCCAAGAAGCATATTTTTGTTTGTTCTTCTCTAAACAGAGAGAGGGAGAGAGAGAAAAAAAGCTGGTTATGATCCTGCTTCCAGAAATGGTGGGATACTAATTACTTGAAGTGAAGACAGAAAAAATACTAATTCTTTGATGTACTCATTAACTCACTACTCTCTGAAGTCAGCTGAATATTTATTTGCTCCATCGCGTTTTGGCCAAGTGCCCTTGGCTGCTTGCTGGAACTCTACACAACCTGCGACCAGGATGCACCTGCATAGCTACTCCAGTTATTCCATTAAGATGCTTATTGTACCTACTTGGGAATTTCACTGGCATCATAAGAAAGGCAGCATTTTAAGATTTAAAGACAATTTAAACAGAAATTAAGGAAAAACGCTGGCTGTAGTCCTTGCATCCCCCTTCCCTGGTAGCAGGGCGACTCGTTTCACTCCTCCGCGACCTTCCCCCCGCTGAAGTTTTCGCGTGCCGCTCAGGTGCCTCACGCCGGGCGGCCCACGGCGCTCACCCCCG